TTTCACGCTAACATCTAAAAAACGTTGTTGTCGCACATAAATAAATTCGTTGTGCGAACTGGTAAGCTGTTTCAGCCGGTGCATACGGGGACGCATAAGTTCATCTCAAATTATTTATATTTTTTATTTGTTTGTTTTATTCTGGCATGGCCTCAAAATATTCTAAACATCTTGAATTTTGAAAATATGTTTTGTTTTTCTCAAAAATTAAAATTTAAATAGCCAATGGTCACTACTTTATACGCATGACGAGTATACACGTCAATACACAAAATCGTGCCACTTCTCCATGACGAGTATACTCGTCAATCACGGTTAACTGGTTAAAGTTTTCAAAGGAATTTGAATTGCGGTAGTCTGAGTCCGTGTCTCTACATCCATTTCATTTTTTACCAGGGAAAAGACCTTCCTTAACCATTCCTCCGGTATATCTAGCTCCTTGACAGAACAATTCTGTCCTTTCACTGAGGAAGAACCGCTGAACCATTCCTCCGGGATAATTCCTTCCTCCATCACCATTGGAACATTTAAATGTTCTTTCTGTTCACTGAGTATGAACTCCTCATTCCTTCCTCTAGGATGACTAGTTCCCCATCAACAGTAGGGCAGCTGAATGTCCCTCAACATTCCTAACCGACAGACACTTATGACTATCGTTGTGCCCATCTATTGATACTGGAGTTGGTGGTTCGAAATCGACATCACCATTGTCCTTCTGATCAATTTCGGATGAGTTAGCGATTTCCCTTCGATCCACAATCGAACTACTTCCTTTATTAAACTCTTCTTCATCTGCCGTAAAATACTCACTATCGGAGTCAGTCATTAAACAATCCATATTATTAGTGTTAATTTGGCTATTCATAACTAGAGCTGATGCTACTTCTGTATCAAAGTTAATGATGGCGTCGAATGGCATCTCTTAGAGGGATGCAAGCCGGCTTCTCCACCTCCTCGAGGTGACTGCTGGGGAGGAGGAATCCTATGCTCACCCACAAGACAGCTCGCTGGTTGTGGATGGGTGGAATCCCCCTAGCAAACGGAGGAACGACGCCCCAGGAACTGTGAGTCGCCTGAAAACAGTCACAGTTTGGGAAGTAGCGACCCCAGGGTTCTCCTAGCTCGTAGTAGACCATAAACCTGTGGTCATGTTTCGCAGGAACGGGGGTCTTACCTTAATCGGCTGGACCAAGAGGATGACAACCTCTATAATAAATCCCTAGCCCCAAGCTTTGGCTGCGGTGAGGAGGGCGCGCACCCCCTGTGGTTGGTGCGAGCATCAACCGTTAGCATGCCAACCTCCGGGTACCTGACGCCCCCCGGTTGTACCAAGGCCTCCTTGTGTATAGCGGCTCTGCACAAGGAGTATTGCGGACCAACCTTCTCGTGGGAATCACTATGAGTACAGACAAAATTAACATAAACATAAATAATTCCAAATCAAAACCCAGGATCGTTAGGCAGGAAGAGGTAAGTACGAAAGATACTGAACTAATAACGAAGTTCTTAGGACGCAGAGGTGGTAATGCATACACGGAGAAGGTGAAGGAACAGTTCGGAGCGAACAAGAAAAAGGAGGACGAATGGCCCATATCGGGGCGCGATGAAAGCTGGGAAGAGACCCAGACCCTGCAAAAAATATCGGGGGAAGGAGAGAGAGAAGGAGTGGAGAACATATACGATATTATTGGTGCGGCTAGAATAAAACCTAGCGAGCCAAAGGACTGTGGGGAATCACAAGAAAGAGAGGTAAGTAAGGAAGATAGTACTTGCATAACAGAGAATGAAATACAGGGGGAACTAAAGACGGAAGAATTAAATGAACTGGAAAAACCAGTTAGTACAAAGAAGGCAGAAAAGGGGGGGGGGGGCGGAGGATAAAGCATCACCAGTATTGGAGATGCGAGGAGAATACAGGAAGGACAAACAAGAACAAAGCGAATCACAGAGACGTCTAAACATTATCAGCCTAACCAAGGCAGCAGGTGATATCGGAGACCTAAGTAAAGAGATCACAAGGTTTGTGAACTCGAGTGGAAACCTGAAAAGAGAGGTGAAACAAAGGGTGGTAGAGTTAATTAAAGAAAATATGCTCCGAATAATTAAGGCTGAAACGACAAATGACGTAAGTGGAACTATACAAAACTTAAGGGAATGGATAGGGGATATGAATAGAGTAACGGAGATTTTAATGGCGGTGCCTAGGTTCATCTATGTTAGGCTTAAAAATATCACAGAGTTAATTAAAGACGGCTCTTTACTAATTTCGCAGGCAGTGGAGGGGCAGGAAACAAGCAATGCCCCTAAAGGAAGGGAGTTTAACAAAGGGGACACGATTCAGGAGGTAGAGGCCAGAGAGGACGACGAATTCTGCCTGGTTGCCAGAAAAAGAAAGAGAGGCGAAAGTAATGAGCTGAGGGCAACAGACAGCGATAGCTCACCAGGTGAATAGGCTAAGCAACCCCTTAAGAGGAGATTAGCCGAGAGTGATAAGGAGAAGGGAGAGGTCCTTAGAGCTAGAGAATTTAGAAGTAAAAGAGCAAGCGAGGTGAATCAAAGTCACAGTATAAAAGAAAATAAACAAGAGGCACGTACAGAAAAAAGGCAGGCAGGTTTCATTAAAGTAAAATGTAAGGAGGGAACTGGCTTTCAAGAGACACTTAGGAATATAAGGGGTAAAATTGCAATTGGTAACGTAGCGGTTAACTGGATTAGACATGCAGGGGG